AAGAAAAGAAAGAAGTAGAGAGAAAGAGATGATGTCATGAGGGAAAACTATGAAATAGAGACCATGGAGTATCATGAATGATTAAACATTTCCATGTTCAAATATCGACTACTAAGAGTGACTGTGTACACTGCTGCTGTGAGCAAAATTCACACCTTTTGTTGAGACTGAGCAAAGTAAACCTCAGCATATTTCATGACCAGTATGTAGTCTCCTTCTTCTCTTATAGGTATTTCATAACCAAATGTATCCTCGTTGTATCGCTCTGTCTGGTAAAGAACCTGATCCTCCGGGCTGGAGCGCAGGATAGGAAGACGGATACCGTAGTCTGATGCTGGAGGGGGACAAAAAAGTGCCAAAAGGTGAGTTTAAGTGTATATAGTGCATGGCATTTGTGTTTCATAACATGCTGAGGAAATGTCAAACCAGAGCAAGGTTTTTGCCTCATTTTCATTCCAATATCTATTTATAGCCAACATAGAGCTGAGTGGAAAATTAAGTTCCACATTTATAATACTGGTCGTTTTCTTGATACTGATGCAATAATGTGAAATCTGACAAAACACATGGTGCTTGATGTCTTTACAGAGCTTTAGAAAGCACTATACAGGCCCTGACATGTGCATGCTGCATTTCTCATCTGACTCAGGAAGTGACAGTCATCACATTTCAAGTGACACAGACTTCCTGATATTATCGACAGCTCTAATAACAAACGACTAATGAGCCAGATGAGCTGACAACCAGTCCTTTTCTTCAACATATAGTATGATTAACATTCTTAATACACTATCAAATCTATACAGTAATAAAACAAATACAGTGCAACCAAAATACCTTTAATATTTCTTAATTCTTACAAGGATAGTTGACTCAAATAACACATTACAAAAATAATATACTTTAAAACAATATACTTAAGTGTGAACTAACTGACACTTAATTGCATGTTATTTACAATCTATTATAGTTTAAATTTATATTAAATGCAATTAGTGCAATTTTTTGGTCTGAAATATGATTAAAGTGAACAGGTGAATGTACTGACAAGCATTTATGGTAACTAAAATATACTTTAATGTTATTTCTATTGAAACTTGTATGTATCAGTGTCATCAGTTGTGTGTATGTGTGTGTAAAACATGTGTAATTAAACATTTGAATAATGCAGTTGCAAATTAGTACAAATAAAATATTTTAATTTTAAATGTAATATCAAATAACATGGTAAAAATGTACTTTAAAGTGTTTTTAAGTAATCTTGTGGAGTACGCTTAAGTGGCCTTTTATTTGATTAATATTATATTATCTGCAAGTACAGTTTTTTTTAAATATACTTCTAAGATATGAAGTACACTACAAGTGCACATTTATTACAATTAGGCACTCTTCTTTTTCACAAGACAATTGTGACCATTTTCATTTTTGGTTGAATTATCACTTTTAAAATGCAGAAATACTACTTTGAACTGTACCGGCCATTTAGAAAAATTGCAAACCAACACAACAAGGCTTAAAAAAACACATCACAATACTGTTGCTTAATGTTCTTCCATCTTTACACACGACATGGACACTTGTTCATTCATTCTCCACCACCACTAACAACTGCCACCTCTTCTGGTGCAGACAACTAGAAGGAAAAATAACACCCTCTCCTGCAATCTGTCCCGCCCTCAGGTACTCACCTTTCCCCAGTTTTCCTTCCAGCGGATCTTTCCTATAGTAGATGCCGTGCGCGTCTGTGTGTGCGTCCCCGCCGGCGTTGACAGCCCAGATGACCCGCTCGGCCAGACTCGGGGCCCCGGTCTCAGCCCGACACACCTCCACCAACAGCCACAAAGCTGCGAACACGAGCCGGGCAGCACAGCGCAAAGTCACCCTCCTCATGGCCTGCAACAGTCCGCGAGGAAAAGTGAAAGAGTAAAGAGAAGCGGTATGGCTATACAACGACTTAACACCGTGTTAAGCGCAGTGTGAAAGGCCATTTTAACCCTGGGTTAAACTTCAATGGAGTCAGCATTACTTTTAACCCTAGGTTAGCCTGGTAAACACCGAAGTGTAGTACTAAAGGTGTATTGACTTAAATGTGCTCGAAAGTGACAGCGCTTCGTTTAGCAACAAACAACCAATCACAAACTGCCTCGCAGCTCACCTCATTGAATATTCAAACACCTTGAACAGTTGTAGAAACGTTCACGCGCTGTTTAGTTTTAGAAAAATGTGAAATAACGACGACAAATGGAGTGATATACTATATTATTTGGGTTTGCAGTTCTAGGTTCTTGTATGTGGCGAAATTGACAGATAAACTGACGGTTATTAAAAATTGGACGTACTCGGATATCATGAATATGCAAATAAGAAGGTTAACCCAGGATATAGAAATGCAGTGTGAGATCTGAATACCCAGGATTAATACCTAACCTTAGATGGAGAAACGTGAATAGCGTGACAATTTGAAAAAGACAAGCTAGGGTCTAGGATGGCCCTGTGTTAACAGTTTCATGTGTGAACAGCCCAAAGCAATGTCCGCCTGTATTTATGTCATCTTACTGTGCAGTCTGAGAAACGCTCTCTGTAGTGGACGGCCGGCTCCGTTCAGATGCTCGGGTTGCACGCTGTCGCTGAACCGTGCAGATCGCCGCACATTTACCCTCCTGGTGGTCGAGTTTAGCTCTGGCTGGTTAGCTGGCTATCTGACTTCCCTCTCGCTCTGTCATCAGTGTGGCAGCTGCAGTCTGCAGGTATATTCCCTCACACCTGCACCCCTGTGTGCTCGCTGTCGCTTCAGAGGCGATCACCGCGTGGTTATCCTGCGCGTGGAGACTGCCCAGTCAGGTGTTCTGTGCGCCTGAAATCACAGCGGCTGACCGGGAGGGCCGCGTCAGTACTGTGGGTATGTGTGCAGTCAGCAGCAGGTTGAAGGGACGGAACGGCAAGGAGAGACAGACTAACCTGATAGTCATGTTCAGGAGGGGGACTAGGATTAGCCAATCACGCAAAGCCAAATGCAGGTCCTGCTTGTTGATTTGCTTTCGAAAAGAATCTATTCGTGAAGTCCGGCGAGCTCTGACCAATCACGATCGGTGGAAGTGCCCCGAAGCAGCGAATCAAGTGTATCAACTTCCTCTCACTTCCTCGCATAAGTTACCCGGCTTCAGCTCATTGGTGCTCGGTGCATATGCAGCGGAAGGTGGGCGAGAAACAGAAACATGATGTTATCTCATTCATCTTTTCTTACTTATAATTATTGATTATTACTTATATAATAATAATTCATTGTATAATGAAAACATAAAATAGCGAAACTCGCATGAACATATTTTACATGTAATTATGTACACATTGTAAGTGAAATATAAAATAACATTATTATTTTATTTTATTTATTTTGTGAACTTATGAAATGATTGGATATACACTACTATCCAGGAAGTTCCACGTTTGTCTTGCGGAATGTGTGTTTTATTCAGGTTTATTCTGATTAGTTAAATTAATGCAACTACACATTTCTTTATAAATTAAATTTCTTCAAAAACTCAAAATATAGGCTTCTTTTAAAGAGCCTATATCTAGTGAGCATAATTGTTGTGCATGTTTTGCCAGACTTAGTAGTCCCTGATGTGACAAACCTCCACTTTAGTGATTTTTGTGATTGATATTAAATATGGAAAAAAAAGATGATTGAAAGTATGAATTTTCAGAGGAACCTGTCTTTTACCGTGTTTACAGCGGTGATTAAAACAGAAATGCATGCATGCATTTAATATAAAAACCACCAGCATGTCAGTCGCCTGTTTTTACCACACGGCGGCGTTATTGAAAAAGCAGGACAATTCTGTCCCGTTTTGGGCCGGAGGAAAAAGCCCGTTGTCATGACAACACGAACGTTCTGTTCCAGCCGCTGGGAAAGTGATGCTCGCTGCTGAACGATTTGGAGATGAGCTGAACAGACACCAGTACAACTGTTGCTCCTTATGCATATAAATAGCGTTTCTTTAGAGGAGGTGTAAGCAAACCTTTTGTTGAGTAATGAACTAATGGAGGAACTAATAGAATAATGAAGCTTACACAAGCGTGGGGATGAAAAATATATGCTATTACTAGACACAGTTTTATTTGCTTATTTTGTAACAATGTATTAAAACCACTATAATACATATGAAGGTCTTTTTGGCATGCAAGAATCTGGTCAGATAACAATTAAGACTACAGATGTCTCTGACACTGGTCACACAAACAGACATAAAGAGGCTCAATTCAAATAAATAATTCTATTTCTTAAGCGTATAGTGATCAGGTGTTGAATGTTTGTAATATCTGGATGTTGTGCATTAATTCAAATGAGCCTGTGTAGAGTGAAACTGTGCTCTTGAAATTAGTTTTCTGACAAGTATGTCGTGATAACTAAAAATAGTGAATCAAACATTTCTAAACTTAGAAACCACTCAGTTATGTATTCAAATTAAATGTTTAAAACTATAGAGGCTAAAGTTAACCCAGCAACAAAATTTGGTTCCGTTTTAGCCCCATCTTGCACAGTGGTTTATATTTGTTTTAAAGGCATGCACTGTGATTTTAGAATGGAAACAGGCAAACTGTTTGACAAGGACAAGTAGTAGAGTAAAAACAAATGGATTTAGGTAGCTGAGCTTGACTTACATAACAAATTATCTGGAAGTCAATGAATTTACACCGTTACGGTACTGCAAACAAAAGAACCCCCTTTAAACATCATTTTTTTTCACACACAGAGACACATTTATACGGGACAACAAGGACAACACTTAATGTAATATTGCCATAATCAAGCATGGTACTCTCCTTCAAATGTGCATGTAAAAAACTAATATTGTTTGGTCTTGCATGGTTGAAAGTGCAGAGACTCTTGGCTACAGTATAAGTGTATACTTTTTTGTTTGTGTGTGTGTGTGTGTGCATGATTTTTTTTTTCTCCAAAAAGTCCAGTTTTCAGTTTTTATACCATGCACTGGCTCAGCAAGGCTTTTCTTGCAGTAGTCTAATAGTCTGTCCGCTTTGACCAGCAGGAAGCAGTACAGCATCTCACTTTCTTCTGTTGGAGACACCATATGAACGCTGCCCTCTCAGCGGGACACCATTCGCACAAACTCTAAAAGGCACAGACCAAAAAAAATACACAGACTTTAACTGAAAACTACTGCACATTTATGTCTGCTTTTGCTTTTTTATTATTACGTAGTGATTCTGAGATTTTTACCTTCAAAGTCTACTCGGCCATCTCCATTCAAGTCAATGTCTCTCAGTATGTCCTCTAGGTCTCGATGACCAACCTAACAAACACAGGAATATGCTGTTAAAATCAAATGACAGGAACCGTTCACCCAAAAATGAAAATTCTGTCATTTTGAACCCCAAAATATGTTATTGTATATGAAAGAATCATTCTGTTGGGCATGTTCCTTTCAGGGTGATTTGGTTCAGAAGGTGAGTTCTAAGGAAAGATTCTGGTCTTTTCCTCAAACTAATTTTTCATAACACTTTGTAACACAATTCATATGGACCACTTTGATGCAGCTTTTATTTTGGGTTTCCAAACATGGTCACTAGATCTCATTATAAAATAATCATTTTGGGTTCCTTAAAGAACCTTTCAGTATGAACATTTTATTTTAGGGTGAAGAACATTTTAATAATCTACCGTTCACCCAAAAATGAAAATTCTGTCATTTTGAACCCCAAAATATGTTATTGTATATGAAAGAATCATTCTGTTGGGCATGTTCCTTTCAGGGTGATTTGGTTCAGAAGGTGAGTTCTAAGGAAAGATTCTGGTCTTTTCCTCAAACTAATTTTTCATAACACTTTGTAACACAATTCATATGGACCACTTTGATGCTGCTTTTATTTTGGGTTTCCAAACATGGTCACTAGATCTCATTATAAAATAATCATTTTGGGTTCCTTAAAGAACCTTTCAGTATGAACATTTTATTTTAGGGTGAAGAACATTTTAATAATCTAAAGAAAAAAAATTCCACTATAAAGAACTTTTTGTGGAATGGAAAGTTTCCATCAATTTTAAAGGTTCCTCATGGAACCATTGATGCCAGTATCGAACCTTTATTTTTAAGAAAGTTGCAATTCAACAGAAGAACCATTTTAGGTTCCTCAAAGAACCTTTTACTGAACTGTTCTTAAAAGAACAGTTATTATCTTAGTGTAAAAACATTTCAATAATCTAAAGAACCTTTTTCCACTATAAAAAACTTTTGTGGAATGGAAAAGTTCCACGAATATTAAAGGTTGGTCATGGAACAGTCAATGCCGATAAAGAATCTTTATTTTTAGGAGTGTATGGAAAATAATTGTATGCAGATTCTTCAGAATTCTTCTTAGTAACAGCATTACGGGTTTGGGAAAACATGAGGGTGAATAAGGCCCCAATATACTTTAAGGCGAAATCAAAGAATAAACTGGTGTGATGTAACTTCGAACAAAATCAGGTCAAAATGCAGTTCATTTGTAGAGTTCAAAACAGCTTGCCAAAGCGAACTTTGCAGAAAAGTTTTCTTCGGCTGGTTAACACCTTCAAAGCATTGTTTCCGCGGCGAATACATAACCAGTAAAAATATGAGTGAAAACATGAACACATTGGAGAGCTGCTTTCGTATTTAAGTTGTAATTCTAATTGAAAGCGGCAATGACACTGTTTTTTATGTTTAATACTGTAAAGCAAACTTATCCACATCTCTATGATCACATGCTTTTGAAACTGCCGTTTAACCCACCACGGCCATTTTTGTTGTTAATTTTGTTATTGAGAGGAAAGCACATATTTACTAATATTCATCTAAACGAATATTCATCTAAATAGAAATTCATCCAAATGCCACTCTTAGCAGCATGGGCATTGGGATGTCCGATAACAGTACACAGATACTCGCGTATTTCAAATGTATTTTTCCCCCAAACAAAGAATGAAACAGAACCTCACAGGGAGTATATCAGGGCATTTAGCAATCAGATATTTCAGTTTTGGTTAAACTATCCCTTTAAAGCTGCTTTGAGACAGACAGATCTTTTCTTCTGTACACTCTTAAAAATAAAGGTGCTTCAAAAGGTTCTTCAAGCGATGCCATAGAAGAACCTTTCAGTCAAAGGTTCTTTAAAGAACCATCTCTTTCTTACCTTTTTGTAATCTGAAGAACTTTCTTTCGCCACAAAGAACCTTTTGTGAAACAGAAAGGTTCTTCAGATGTTGAAGGTTCTTTATGGAACTATGTAGACAGAAAGGTTCTTCTATGGCATCGTGAAGCACCTTTATTTTTAAGAGAGTATTGTGAAATACATTTGAGTGAAACAGATTATCCAAAAAAAAAAAAAAATGTAGGGAGTCTTGGTTTTATTCATCAGATGTTGATTGGATGGAGGCAGATCTTAATGCGAGCTTGCAGTCAATCGTATGAAAGGGGCAGAATTTAAGCGGATGAAATGATTGGAGAAGTCCTGCACACGTCACCAGAGAAAAGTCTGTCGTTTAACCGGAAGTTATAACATTTCGATTAAACATCATGAGGTTCAAATTAAAAAAATGTATGCATGATGAATCGTTCACAATAAGATCAATAACATACATTTAGAAAATAGTAATGTCACGTTCATGTCATTTTATGCACACAAATGTACCAAAAGCACTAACCTGTTGTCCCAGCAGCTTCCTCATAGCTTCCCTTAGCTCTCCTGTGCTTATTTCGCCATCTCCATTTGTGTCAAACTGTAAAGCATAATATATAATTTTAATTTTAATTTTATATTTTATATTACAATCTTTTGAATTTTCCACTCACCTCTTTGAAAGCATTTCTCAGCTCTTTTATCCCAATCATGTCTGCTGTCTCTGCTAGTAGTTTAGGTCCCATCAACCCTACAAAGTCCTCGAAATCCACATGGCCACCTACTAAGAAAAACAAACTGATGTCAGTATTTTGTAATGAATGGACATGGCTGATATGATAATGGCTGTGTGCACACATAAGCTTACAGTTCATGTTGATTTGTTGGCTCAGTTCTATTAGTTCCATCTCGGTGGGCATGTAGCCCATAGTTCTCATGCAGTTCCCCAGGTCTTTACAGCTGATAAAGCCATCTTTATCTTTGTCAAACTCCTTAAATGCTTCTCGTAACTCTTCACTCGTCGAGACAAACCAAACAAATGCATGGCATGTTAACACACAGTAAAAAACAGACTCAGCGAACCATGAGCTCTAATAAAACAATACGAATGTTTTTATTATTGTAGTTCAGTTTATACAGGTTTGAAGAAGTTAAAGTAGCTAAATAAACTATTGAATTTGAATCAACTAATAACAACAGATTGAAAAACTTACCATCAATCTCCTCTGGTCTCAACTCTCGATTCTGTAACAACAAAAGATGAGGAAGAAATGGTCAAAACAACACTAGCAAAGGTCAAATTTTAAAGACATAACACCCAAAAATCAAAACCTTAGTTCCTCACAATAAAATACAGGCCATCAAGGAAATGAAGTTCTTCTGGAGATGGATCCATTACCAAAAAACCTTTAACTAATGGTGCATCCAAACCAGTCATAGCGGCTATTGTTTTATGCCTCTACTCGTTCAAAGTCACTCAACGTGTAGTTAGTGCTCGTTTTATAGTGTTAAGAAAGAGCAATTGCGCGTTACTAAAAGGTGAGGTGGTCCTGGTCACATGGCAATGGTATTTCTCCAGCGTCACAGCTAAGTGAACAAATCCCGGCAAGTGAGACAGAGAAACAATCTGTCTTCACCTAACAGTGACAACCTTTAAAGGCGATGGAGGAAAGAGAGGGAGAAAGATGGAGAACAGAAGCTGTAGCATTCACGGGGGAAGAAATTAGTATAAACATGCAGGCTTTACTGACGTAAGACCATGACATTCTCACACACACACACACACACATGCAAAAACATGCAACCTAAATTGTAGAAGTAAAAAGAAGCAGCATTTTATGCGATATAAATACATACGCCTACGCGGCAGCATGCAGAATGAGAAAAGCTAAATTGCTTATATAAGTACAGTAAACCATCATTCACAATGTACATGAGAATGCAGCAGGTCTGTGTTAGTGTTTGTGTATTTGTTGAGTCTAAATTAGAGTTTGCATATTCATTCATTTGTTTGGCATATGCATAGCACGTAGATGCATATTTAGGGTTATGAGTGACCTGGGACCCCATTTCACCCCCTCTACTACATTCACTTTGTGGTTTTAGAGCCTTTATGTATTTTATGTATATACGTTTTATTATGAGAACCTACAACTGGTTTTCTGGTAATTTAATTTTAGATATAATATGTCTGTGCTTTAATTACATGTCCTAGAAAGCCATGCCTCTCTATAGCTCAAAAACATATTATAAGGCCATTGCCCTAAAAATGTCCCTCCTCCCTTTGTCTGTCTCTCTGTGAAAAAACTTTTACATCTGCACTCTTCTACACATTTCCAACACTTTTCCCACCCAGGCTCTTAAACATGCTCTATAAAGATGACAGATACTTTGTGTTGAGTTGAGCAGACAGACACTCCTGAGGGTAAATAACAGAGAATAGCTCATGCTATGTTTGACCAGGAGCTCAGGAACAGAGTCACTGACAGAAACACCTCATTAAGGAGGTTCCTAAGAAACATTTAAGAGGAACATGTTCATATAAGCCCACAAATCACAATAATAAGGATATGTTAGCATCTAATTCAGCACTATTCTCACTTTTCTCTGCATTGGGTGTCACAATTAAGCCTTATACTCAAAACCGTCTGTGAAAAAACTTTTACATCTGCACTCTTCTACACATTTCCAACACTTTTCCCCCCTAGGCTCTTAAACATGCTCTATAAAGATGACAGATACTTTGTGTTGAGTTGAGCAGACAGACACTCCTGAGGGTAAATAACAGAGAATAGCTCATGCTATGTTCGACCAGGAGCTCAGGAACAGAGTCACTGACAGAAACACCTCATTAAGGAGGTTCCTAAGAAACATTTAAGAGGAACATGTTCATATAAGCCCACAAATCACAACAATAAGGATATGTTAACATCTA